TATATACTTTTTTAATTACTTAATGTATATACTATAATTTATTATTATTATTATTTTAATTATTAAACTGATTTAATATAACTTATTAAAACTAGATTAATTATCACAATTATTAGATTAATTATATTTGTATTTGTTTTATTTAATAAATATCATTAATTTATTAAAAACTAATGTATTTATAATATTTTTCTTTGTTTTGTTTTTACTTTTATCACAATTAGATTAAATAACATTCTAAATAAATAAAAAGAAACTTACCTAAAACTATATTTTCTTATTTATCTGACGCAAATTTTAAAAACACGAAACCTTAATAACTATTTTTTTATTGATGATATATTTGAATGATTTTAATATTTAATTATTTACTATTATATTGTTTTTTATTCTTAAATGAGTTTTTTTCTTGGATTCATTTTTGAACTTTGAATAACAATATATTATTTTTAAAATTTATATTTTGGTTTAACCACAAAAGCGGTATATTATTGTTGACCTTTTGAATAACGATAAATTATAGTGTAACTTCAAAAAATATATTGATTTACATCATTAAATATTGTGAACGAACAAAACTTTTAAAAAACAACATTGTATTCGCCTATAGATGTAAGTTCCTTTGATTTTTATTTTTTGAAAATAAAGATCTTGAGATTTTTTTAGTCATATATGATTATTCAACAATCATATATGAATAATCAAAAGAGAAAAAATAGTCGTATATGGTTTATATTTGAATATGTCGATTCCGTTTTTATTTATATATGATTATCAAGTAATCATATATAAATAAAAAATCTTAAGATATCTATTTTTTAAAATCTCAAGTAGTGAACCCCTCTTATAACGATTTTTATATTTGTTTTACATTTAACAAAAAAAAATAGTGAGTTTATTTCATAACCACTTTGAGCTTTTTTTTTTTTCATGAGTTTATATACATCAATATAAAATGAGTTTTTAGGATATCAGAATTCGGTTAAATCCGAACCAATTTTATCAGATTTTCAAATGAGATTTGGAGTTACAATATAACCATTTACAGATTCGGATTTTTGCCGGATTAGCCTATATAAAAAATTGCCAAGTCGATAAAAAGCTTGATAAAAATATTTTTAAATTGTAAAAAAATAATTATGGATTTGGATACAGATAGATTTTGTTTTTTGAAAAGTTTGTTTTAGATAAACGAACATAACGTCAGAAAGTTAAAAACAATCCTAAGTTAAAAAAAAAACTTTAAGAAACATTCTTAGTTGTTATAAAAATGAAGGGTAAATTACAATCATCCTTTGTATATATGTCAAAACGCACGTTTAAACTTTATTCTAAAAAATTAACTCGAACGTCCCTCATATCATCAAAAGATGCAAGTTACGTCCCTCGTAGATTTAAAATTGTCTCTCACAGACTTAAAATGACGATCTTTTCATTTTCATTTATTTTTCATTATTTATAACTTATCATCTATTTTTTTATTAATTATAATTTTTTAAAAACAGAAATTTCCCCTTAAATTGGTTCCAACCCCTTTAGCCATCAACCACTTCCAACTACAGTCATCTCCGGTCACGCGGGGGGGGGGGGGGGGTAGTGGGCTTGTATTTTATTTTTAATTGAAAATAATAATAAAACATCAAATTAAATGAAAAACAAAAACACAAGGGTATTATGGTCATTTCAGTTCTAGTACAAACTAATTTCGCAACAAAATTGTTTTCCAGGGATGAAGCGTGCAAAGTTAAACCAATCGAGAGACGGTTCGAGTTAATTTTTTAAAATATGGACTGAACGTGCATTTTGGCACGTGCACGAGGAACGATGGATGCAATTTACTTTAAAAAATATTACGGATTCAGATGATTCGGTTTTTTAAAATCCGATTTCATATAAACGAACAAAATGTCGACAAAATAACAAACACATGTTAAAAAATGAAAGAAAATAAACGAACGAAGTGTCATCGAAAAATAAAAAAAAATGATATTGAAGATATATATTTGAATAAAATGCCAAAAATAGGATTTAAAAAATAATGTAAATTATACTAAATCTTTATTAAATTTATTAATATAAAATAAAAATAAAAGATATTAGTAATAATATGTTTGATGGAATGAAATAATAAATAATTTTTTTAAGATTTATAAAAGTTTTTTTTTAATAAAAAAAACGATTCACAATAATAAATGGGCCACAAATATCATGGGCTAAATAACTAATAAAGGCCATACAAAACTATTGGGTTATACAAATATACGTACACTAATAATGCAAAGGTGTATTCCATATCATATAGTTCCAATTAGAACCTGTAAAAATTGATTCGAACTTATTAATTCAACCCGAACCCAACCCAAAATTAGCAGGCTGAGTTGAAAATTTCAACCCATTTAAGTTAAATGGGTCAACCCGTCTGACCCATTTAATTAAATAAGTTGGGATGGATAAAAGTTATTAACCTGTTTTCAACCCACCAACTCATTTCAGTTTAATATATATTTAATTTAATAATTATTTAATTATTTTCTTTGTGCCAACAATACTAGTCACTCTTCAAAATTATTATGAAATTACATATCTTTAATGTTATTTGAACAATTTCTTTGTATTTGTGAATTGAGATTGTGTTTTTATTATACTTTTAAAGTTTATTTAAGTTTGGAACTATTTTAAGTGGTATAATATTAGTTAATTTATTTACTTTTTTATTTTAAATGAGTTAACCCAAGTTTAACCCATTTATTTAATAAGTTGGGTTAGAAATTACATAAACGGGTTAACCCGGTGACAACCTATTTATCTTAAAGGTTGGTTTGGGTTGAAAATATCCACACATTTAAATAAAACGGTTGGGATGGTTGAAATATTCAACTCAATTAATTAATAAATATGTTGAACCCGAACCCAACTCAGACCGATCCATTGCTAGCTCGAGTTCCAATCACCCAAATTATTTAAAATATACTATAATCACCTCAATTAATTCTTCTTGCTCGATGCTAAACATTTAAATAAAGGTGCAGCTATACCCTCAATCATATAAATAATATTATTACGACGTAGACACAATCACCCACGCACAAAAAAGAGTACACCAAGCAATTTTAGATGTATGTATAGAATTCTCCTTAAATAAATGTGTAGGTAGGCATTAGCCGTACTACTACTTTTGAAATGAAAGCTTATCACATGGCTGAAAACCAATAACACCTCAAAAGAAAAAGAAACGAAAGTACAAAGATAAAAATCAAAGAGCTCCTATAAAAAAGATTACATGCGGGTTGGTTAAAATCCCCGATTTTGTCCTTTTTTTTGGGACCATCTTTTAATCCCTAAGGCTATCCGGAGTGGGCAGCTCAACCTATGCGTGGAGCTGAGCTGGGGGTCTGAAGACGCGTAAACACCGTCCCCAGACCTAGTGGCTTGCGTGTGACGTCTCTACGAAGACGAGTCTCGCTATTGGCTGCATTCCGTTTTGACTAAATGGAGTCGTTGGAGGCAATAAAAAATTTTTTTTTACAAATTCTACTGCAGGTGTTCTAACGGAGGAAGCCGATAGAGACCTCATTTAATCAAAAGCAGAACAAATCTCTTTCCAAATTTTTTTTCTCTCAAAAATGGTTTATAAAGTTTACAAATTCCACCATAGACTTTATTATTATAATAATAATAATAATAATAATAATTATTATTATTATTATTATTATTATTTTCTATGTTTTTATTAATTAGGTTTTTTATTTAATTTAATATAAAAAATATATATATATTGTGGAGTGGTGACCATTTCCTATGTCTAGTGAGTTGATGGTGAAGCTGACGTAACGCAGATGTGTTAATATTTTTTCGATGGGTTGACTGTGACCACTCCCCACAGCCTAACAAATATAAAAAAACATTTTATCCTTGTC